GCAAAATTAAATTCTTTTTTATATAATAGTCATATAATAGTCATATGTATTATTAGATTCCATATGCATTATTGTCTGAAAATATTAAGTACCTAAACATAAGCTAACCAACAACACGTAGTTGTGTTTATCAAATCGACCACTTTCATAGGGGGGTTGCAACCCCCTCAACATTCCCCCTAGATCCGCTCCTGAAATGACTAGTTGGTGTTGGAAAACTATCAASTATGCCATGAGCGCCGGTACGGATTATATTGTTGAATCTTTTGCGATAGGTTGAAAACGAAAATGAAAGTTTAAAGAAACTGCAGAAATGTTCACTGTCAACTTACCCAAACATGAAATTTCTGGTATYTTCACACTGAAGAACTGAAAAAACACGACAGAGAGGATCAAATTCCTCATGACAATCTCCTGGCTTTAAATTTTGAAAATTTGTTCAACTTTTAGAACTMCCTTCAGCYCCGTCCAACAGCATCAAGTGTGTGGGGCTTCTCGTGAACTTTCTTAATATATTTCCGCTTACCACAATCTGGGACTTTGCCGCACCTTAGAGGTTCCATGTGATTGGCTAATTCAATCTATCCTTGATYTGATTGGCTCACTTCATAGTGCCGTTGCTTGGTAATGCGCAGTAAACAAACTTGATATTGTTATAAATGTAAACAGACTGTCAAAAAAAAATCCAAKTCAATTTATAGCTAAAATACTAGGAATCACTAAAGTATTTACATAAAAGATTCCAAGTACAGAGTCATCTCGTTTTAGCGACATGAAGTGTCTAGCTCAATGCCCCCCTCAAAGTGTTAGAATAGTTTTTAGTGTTTGTACAAGAATCATGAACCCCTTGACTGATATTGTTTTATATTACAATATGAAGTCACTTTACTGTCAGTTCTAATCTTGGTMATAATAAACTAGGAGTATAATGGTATTAATTCATGTCTAGTGTGAAACGCGGTTGAATAGTTTTCCGCGACTACGAAAAAATAGACAAACTAATAGTAGACATCAAAACCATTCTTATATTTTGTTGACTATTAACTATAGTACTAAATAAGTACTCATTTTCTTTTGCAGTGGAACTAAAGAACAGTGTTAGGCTCAATACAAGTAGTTTATTGATTGCATATGTTTACTGATGTGTGATAGTTTTCTTATCTTCTATTAATACAGGAATATACTTCAATAATTCCTGAAACTTTGGTGTTTTAGCTGCATTGATCCCACCTGGAAGCAAAATAATACAACAAATAACCAGTTATCAAGTTGATATGGACTATATCATCAAATTGCGATGACAACAATTCTCAGAAAAAAGGAAAGTGCAATCAATAATGACCTTTATGCTCTGATCATGGCATGTCATGGCGTCGACATTCTTTCGATGTGTCAACCAGCTTGTCAAGAAACATACAAATTAAACAATCAAGTCAGTTTGCAAATCAAAGGGGAAGTCGACACGGAATTAAAATCTGGCACCAAACCAAACAAGAAAATGTATGGATCAACAAACACTGTTGGGTTCTAAACTTGTTTATTTGACCATTTACTTAATGGATCATCATGAATGCGGTCCAGTTCAGGTCAACTGTTCTTAATTAGAGAGTTTAAGCGTCACGTTTACGGCAAACGGCTAACGGCAGAGCTGAACCAATAACCTACGAATTTCATGCTTGAAAGAGCGACTTGTCGATTATGGCCTGGCAACCCGAAAATAACCTAGAAAGCAGGTCACGTGATCTTTTCTGCCGTTTGCCGTAAACGTAGCCTGATACTGAGGCTAACGTAAACATCACTGAAACCTCAACACCATTGAAAAGTCAACCAATTCTGTGGTTATACATGAGTTTAATTGAGCTTGCGCAAAACTGAATTACAATTCTTATCCTGGTTTAACAAGAAATGTGCAGAAGAAAATTCTTGATGATACAAACGCATCCAATCTTCTAAAGAACTTATTTAATATAAATAAAAAGCAAAGCTTATAGGTAGATGGGTTACGAGCCAATCAAAGCACGCGTTCTAAACAACTTATTTGATATACCAATACCAACAGCCATGCATTGAACCTTTTCCGCAGAACCTGACATACAAAAAAAAACATTTGCCTGGATTTTTTAATTAACTTAATTTCGCATTTTCTGAGTGATCATTTTTAGCCCGTTAGCTTTCCCTAMTTTGAATGTGTTTGCGTTTCATTGGTTGCTTGGTAGTTTGCGTTGTATGGAATGGAGCGCGCGTAATAAGCTCACTTTGGTATGCAAGACCGAAACGTCGTTACCAGTAAAAAAGACAGTTACAAGTTGCTACAAGTTGTTGTCATTCATTTATCCATTCAATCATTCCTTCGTTCGTCCGTTAGGTGCGTATTCGCGCGTATAACCAGTAGTTCAGTTGAGAATTCAACCTCTTTTATAAAATACATTACCTCTATTCTGGGCGGTTTCAACGATTTTCTCTCCTGAAAGCGCGCGGACCAGTCGTAGAGGCACTGGATCTCATAGATAAGCAAATCCAATTATCAGAACCAATGAAGCACACTGCTGCTGTTGGCCTATAGGCATGGGAAACAAAGGATTTATTAACTTTAAACTAGGGAGCTATCAAGATGCAATCTGTTGTTACGAAAATCTCTCAGGATTCAGGGGACAAAAAGGAAGAAGCAAGAAATTATGCACGTGTTTACTCTATCAAAGCATTCGACCATGAAAAGAGAAACGAGACCAAAGAATACATGGATGCCATCTCTAAGGCAATAGAGCTTCTGAGAGACGGTCTCAAATGCTGGGAGTGGGTTTTCGAGAACATCAAAGAGCAAGATCATTTCAAAATATCAATTCTAGATACTTTTATCCTCCATTATAAGCATCTGTCGTTCTTGCTTTTGAAGACTGGCGATTCCYAGGSTGCACTTATGGTGTTAGAATGTGCAAGAGGGCYGGCTCTAGATGATCTTTTGYCTTCAAAGTATGGCGTTTCAAATGTCGACCAGCGACATGATGCAGAAATATCGTACGATGATGTTAAAGAAATGTCGAGGAACTTCTCCATTGTCTTTTATAATGACATGSGAGGATCCTTGGTTATATCTTGGTTGATCAGCGGTTCAGACGAGCTAATAGTACGGCCACACGAGTACTATCAGGAGACTAAGCTCTCGAAAATCATTGAGGATATTTATAACATGTTTAAGGTCAGAGAGGTAAAGTGTGAAAACAGGTTAATCCAAATAGAAGAATCTCAAAGTCAACCTGTGTTATCGCAATCAAGAAGTGCATTGGATGTACAAAAAGATCATTTTCCGAAGGGCTTACTGCAAGGAATTAAACAAAGAAATGTTCCTGATGAAATGCTTGATGAGGAGGAAAGTCCACTTGTACAGTTGTACAGTGATTTGGCCTTACCACTAATGAATCGAGTGACTGGAGACGAAATAGTCATCATTCCTGACGGGCCTTTATTCAAGGTTCCCTTTGCAGCTCTCCAAGATCCAGAAACGGGAAAATACCTATCTGAACTAAAAGCGCATTCGTTTTGCGCCTTCTTTAACCACATTGAAGGTGCTATTTCAAAGTCCAGAGAACTTTCATAGTAAGACGGGCGCTTTGATTATMGGAAATCCTTATGTTGGAGAGGTTATGCTTCGAGGAAAAAAGTACAGATCTACAAGCTTCCTTTCGCGGAAGAGGAAGCTATGAAAGTTGGTGATTTACTTGGTGTGCAGCCGTTGCTACGCACAGATGCTAACAAAGAAGCTGTCAAACAGATCTTGCGAAAGGGCGTTGCTCTTATTCACATCGCCGCACACGGTACAACAAATGGAGAGATTCTTCTGGCACCATCATCGAACACGAAAAATACACCTGAGGYACAAGACTACATTTTGACAATGAAAGAAGTAAACAGGAAAGTAGTGTTCGTCCTCAACTTGTTGTACTTAGTTGCTGCCATAGCGGTCGTGGTGAGGTCAAAGCAGAAGGTGTTGTAGGAATGGGCCGAGCATTTCTTGCTGCTGGAGCCCGTGCAYTTGTGGCATCACTGTGGGCCATTCCTGACCAAGCTACCATGSTATTCATGGAATACTTTTACCAGCATTTGAAGGAAGGGAAGAGCGCAAGTACAAGCCTCCAGCAAGCTATGAAAGACATGAGAGGGTCGGGAGGCCGGTACAGTGAACCAATGGCCTGGGCTGCGTTCTTTCTTCTTGGTGATGATGTTACTGTTCAAATATAAGGAACCATAAAGACAGTATACACCATGTAGTATTTTTATCTGAATCTTACACCAAACGCAAGCCACTCTACGTTGTGGTTAGATTTTTAAACTGGATCAAAATTGTAAACCATTATATAAGCACAGGKAACTTATCATTAGATTATTATTTTTAATGGTATTTTTATTTTAAGGCATTACAATTCTTTTATAATTTTTGCACCCTGTKTATTTCATCAAAATAACACTTTATTCAATAAAAATATTTTTTTAAGTATCCCTTCAGCTATGAGAAATAGGTCGTGTCTCGTGCAATTACGTGCAATGTTTTGCTATTGTAGAGATGTTTTTTCTCGCAGCATTTCACTGCAATCGAGCTTTTCCGCCATGTAACAAATATCTCGTAGAGCGTCGTTTTGAAGGTATCTCTGTAAGAGATAGACATTTACAATGTTATTAGATTCTAATTCCATTATTTTTTGTCTGGACCTGACATTAATAAGTAGTTTATTTTCGCATACTGAGCGATCACTTTAAGTAAACAAGAACGTTACCTACCTTTGAGAATTCTTTCCCATAGTTTAATCTTCGTTTTCCTTTATTTTTGCCGTTAAAAACACTTGTAATTCCTTGACTCTTCTGTACAAAAATAGTTAGTGTTAATAGTACCATTGCGATTATGATATTTTTGGTATTCATTGCGCTAAGATGATGAATGTTCTTTCGATGGTGTTGAATGACTACAAGATAAAGCTGATCATCACTTTATATCAGTGCGATAGGCAAAGCTCACGCGGAGTATTGCACCTGTTTCAGAGCTAAAATTAAAACATTGTTAAAACCTGTAAATACGCTATTTTCCGTTGGACACGTATTGTTCTGACTATTCTGGATAATTCTCACAAACAATTGAAGTRACTGTCAACTAAATTCAAAAAAACAATTTGATTATATAGCATTCTTTTCGTTAAAGTACCATGCATYCTCGTAGCATTAAGATTCTCCAACTTTTTGGAAAGTGGAATGCGATCGTCACAAGAACMCAATTAAAATAAAACAATTTAGTAAATTACCCTTATTCACATGAGGGTGCTTTCTTTATCGAGGCGTGCGTGACCCAAATGAAAGATTAGGGCTTTGAAATGACTGATAATAGTGAAATTAACGAGCAAATTATGTGCTTTGAATTTCCTGTTGTCTCAGTTAGGTGTCTCATATAACCCTCTTTTATTGCATGAAAGGATGTTTTTTTGAGCCGTGAGAGAAACCTCAGATGAGCTTATAATACCAGCATAAAAATTATAATCAGATTGTATTTTTCTGCTGAAAGTKCGAGAAAGGTGCAATGTTTCAAGCCCCGATTCGATGTTTAAGATCTTTGTGTCYACAATGTGACCACACAGAAAGAGAAGACAGAAGCGGAAGCTCAAAGGATCGATGATTAAGTTTGTGCATTCGTTCCTACGCTTTCAAGCTACCAAGAAAGTTATCAAAAAGATCTTACGAAAGGGCGTTAACAACATTGACATCGCCATGCGAGCTACAAAAAATAGAGACAGCACCCTTGCACAGGGTTGACAATGAACCTGAGAAACAAGACTTCATTCTGATAGTTAAAGAAGGGATCCGAAAGAAGTACAAGATCCTCAATCCCTCAACGTGTTGTGTACTTATTTCCTGCCATAGCGAGGGCAAGAGTTGCCCGAAGCGCAGGAGACTGTGGTGTTGATCATCAAGTAACGCTTCTTTAGAATAGCAAGTGAAGGAAGTGGGGGCAATACAAAAAAACTAATTAAAGAAATCCATCCAAACGAAAATCAACATAAAAATCAAACTTGGCTTTCACTATGCTATAAGCATAAAGGCTGAAAAACAATAGATTTTGGCCGCTAGACGGCATTGAGGTGCAATCCATTAGATTTTTGAGAGGGGGGGGATCTAATTGGTGCAAGAATGTTTTTTTTGGGGACTTCAGGCGCTTTTTTTCCACTTCCCCCCCTTCAATAAGGTCTAATGGATCTTCCCTAAGAAAATATTAAGAAGGTAGTTTTCTTTGTTTGTCCTTTTGTATTTAATTAGTTTCTTCTTGTTTTTATCGCTATGCTTATGTCGATGTTTTATTTAGCACGCTTGACTTCACTCCTTTGTATTTTCTTTTGTTCTCGGCTTATGTCTATGGTTATGTCCTAGTGACAACGATTAAACGATTAATCGATCGTTTTCAATTATTCCCATGAGATTAAAAAAAGATAAAAAGACCAGCGACCATGTTGAAGGAATGAACAATAGAAATCCTTATTGAAGTTACTCCAAGATGGCCGCCGAGATGTATAAGGAAAACGCCGAGGAATATGATGTAAACCAGAAGTACATATCTGAGTACTACTGTATAAACTAAATACAC